TGACCTAGCGAAGGATGTGGAAGGTCTTTAGTTGGTACCTGATGCGTTTGAATAGCATTCAGAGTCTATACAGTCTTACTTTGTATCATGGGCTAGTTACTTTGTATTTCCAGTGGGACAAAAGTTTCTAGCCAGCATGGATTGGGTCTTACACTGTTTAATTCTTTTAAAGACTAATATCCTATCAGCAAATGTAGCCATTAATGCATTTTTTATACAGACAATATAGCCTTTATTTCATTAAGTTGTGAATTAGTTGTATTATTTAAGGTGATGGTCCTACAGTGTCATTACAGACCAAATAACAGAGCATTAATTAAGACAGACTTTTGATTCTAGACATTTGATTCTTTCCCAGGAAGGATGTAAATGGATAGGTGATCCGAGGGTGTAGACAACTTCTACTCCTACGTGGCTGTTCCCAGCCACCCCCAAACTGATGACCCCATCCATGTAGTTGAAACAGGCTCACCACCCAAACGAAGAGAAAAAAAAGAAGGGTATTTAAGGAGCTTCTTTCTAGGGACATGACCACAAACTTGCACCTCACTCATCTTCATGCTTTAGCAAGCACAAGTGGATCAGTGGCCGCACTCGGCTGCAAGGGAAGCTGGAAGACACACTACCTGGCCGCTGGAGGGAGAGGGGAAGGGAGAGCACAGGCCTAACTAAAGCCTGACCATTCAATGACGGAGAGAAACAAAGGAAAAGTGGAGTGCGGAGGTAGTTAGTAATCTCAGCCACACTCGCCATATTTGAAATCAAAGGATTTCATATAAAATTCTAGATTACAGAGTTATTTAAAAAAAAAAAGATCTGATGACACAGGAATCAAATTCCAACGGAATAATAATTAGATGGCTCTACTGAGGATGAGCAGCTCCAGTTAGCACACACGCCCTCGCTATGGCCCGTAGTTCGGTGTACATACCTGATACTTAGTTACCAGTTATGCAGTCACATCATTTGCCTCCTCTCTGGAGGCATCCGAGTTTGAACCAAAGGCATCCAACGAACCACCTAGTGGCTACCAGCTACTCACCAAGTGTTTCCCTCCACTTTCTCCTTTTATCCTCAGGGCAATTTTTGCGAGGTAGCTTTCTTTACTCTGCAGTATAACTGAGTAACTTCAGGCTCAGAGAAGTGGAATCAACTTGCTCAACTTATCAAGAAAGTCAGCGTTTTAAAAATGTAAGCTCAAGGGGCGCCTGGGTGGCTTAGTCGGTTAAGCGTCCGACTTTCGCTTAGGTCATTATCTCGCGGTTCATGGGTTCGAGCCCCGCGTCAGGCTCTGTGCTGACTGCCAGCTCAGAGCCTGGAGCCTGTTTCAGTCTGTGTCTCCCTCTCTCTCTGACCCTCCTCTGCTCACGCTGTCTCTCTCTCTCTCCTAGNTGCCAGCTCAGAGCCTGGAGCCTGTTTCAGTCTGTGTCTCCCTCTCTCTCTGACCCTCCTCTGCTCACGCTGTCTCTCTCTCTCTCCTAGAAATAAATAAAACATTAAAAAAAAAATTTAAAAAAAAATAAAAAAAAAATAAAAATGTAAGCTCAAGCCTGTTTGTGTCTGACAGAAGCATCCGTGCTGGGAAGCGGGTGACGGGCGAGGTCCAGAGAGAGAAGCAGCGCGTTTCAATGTACCATTTCCTTTGTTCACACAACGTTCTTCTTTCTCTCCCACGGCATCTTTAACACTGACTCCTCTGACAAAACAACAGCTCTGTTGGGCGAATGAAGGCCTCAGAGGGCTACCTCTCAGACCAGTACAGAGTAACCATGAGCTAGCCTGGAGTAGAAGACATGAGGGAAGTTATCACCCGCCTGCGAGGTCCTGTGCTTTCCAGTGAGAACCCACTAGAACACGGTCCCCAGTAGTCCCCAAACAGACCCTGCGCACTACACTCTGGTGCCTCCCTCTCCTCGGGTCCCCTCTGCTATTCTGACCCTCTAGATGCCCCCCTTCAGGGCCCAGGACAAACCCAGCGCCTTCCATGAGGTCACCCTGTCTCCTGCTCCTGCCTCTCTAGGACCTTCTCTTCTCACTCTGGCCAAGCCGTTCACACCCATCCCTCCTTCCTCCCAAACTAGCTAGCAAGCCTGCATCACTGAGCTCAGTGCCCTACTCAGAGCAAACTCTCAAGAAATCTTTGGCGAATGATTAATGTGGTCAAATTAGAAGCCTTTTTTTTTTTAAATGTCCCATCTAAAAGAAGAAATCAAATACAAAAAAAGTCTATAGTCTTGGTTTAGTGCTTCCTGTTTCTAGCTTATATGGTACCATTTCTCCTTTTCCTCTGACAACTTCATCACTGTGGGACGGGAAGCAGTGAAAAGGAGTCAACAAGCCTTTGCCTAAGTATCACTGGATCTTAGACCTGTGGCCTTGGCTCTCTTCATTCATTCACGTATTCATTCATTCCCCGGTATTAGTGAGCTCTGCCTACTGGGCTCCAGGCCTCGAGACAGACAGGAGAACAAGATAAGTTTCTCCCCTCAGGAAGTCCCATTCTGGGAGAAGAAGGATGCAGGAAAATGGCAATTACATTGCAGAGCAGAGAGGCTCTGTCGGAGGAAGAGGGGAAGGAATCGCAGATGCAATCTCTGTGAGAGAGACTACTCTTCCATGCCTCGGTTCTTCTACACATGCAAACAGAACTAACTGGTCTACCTTTGACAGGCTGCATGCAATGAAATGAAGCAAAATAGTGCATTCATAAGATATCATTATGGAGATTTTCAGTCTTGGTCTCCCACCAGACTCGACAACCTTCATTAATCTTTGTAGTTCTTACCCTTGTTTACCAGAAACAAAACAAAACAAAACAAAAAAACAGTGACTCAGAGCTACCTCACAATTAGAGATAAAGTTAATTAGAATCTAGATTTCTTAGCTGTTCTTTTTCAGCAACTGCTTGCTGTTTAACTTAAAAGACCACTTTAAGTGAACGATAAATGGAAGTGAAAAGTCATTGTCAGGAGATTAAAAACACGTATGTACAGAGGCTTTCCGTTTATTTTTAGAGATTAGATTTGGGAGAAGAGCCCTTTGGTCTGGTCCCCAGCCCATTGCTGATGTCTTCTCAGAACCTCGGGACTCTGAGTGCCCATGAGGACGGTGGCCCAAAAAGCCTGGGAAGGGCAGAAGATGAATTCGTTTGCTTGTCTCTGCATCGAGATCCTGGTCAGCATCTAGAAAGTCTTAGAAAAAATAACAACGGCTAATAATTTTTTTAATGGTTTTTTTTAAATGTTTTATTTATTTCTAGGAGAGAGAGAGAGAGAGACAGCGTGAGCAGGGGAGGGTCAGAGAGAGAGGGAGTCACAGACCGAAACAGGCTCCAGGCTCCGAACTGGCAGTCAGCACAGAGCCCGACGCGGGGCTCGAACCCATGAACCGCGAGATCATGACCTAAGCAAAAGCCGGACGCTTAACCGACTAAGCCACCCAGGCGCCCCAACAACGGCTAATAATTACCAAACACTCACCAAGTGCCACGCAGCATTTTAAGAGTTCACATGGATTCCTTTATTTATTTTCTCTTTTATGTCTCACGACAACCTCATGTAGTCCCTTCTACTGCCAACTTCATTTTACAGAGGAGGGAGCCAGAGGCATCTGGAGGAGAGAAAAGTCTCTAACTTACACAGCCATTGTTTGAACCCTCCCCTTGCCGAAAACAAGGTGGGGAGAAGAAGGGAATCATTTTCCCCAACTTTCTCCCCAAAATGTGGAATAAAAAGAATGCACAAGGAAGAGAATGAGCAAATGCAATAGAAACTTCCCTTCCAACACATCCAACACCTCCAGAGCATAATCCAGCGAGGACAGCGAGGAATGAGCAACCAGCAAAACACGAGACTCATCCAGAGAGAAGAAGCACAGACCTGGGAGGAAGTCCCTGCCTCCTGCCACTCACAGCCAACCCAGGGCACAAGGGGAAGACGTGGAGCTCTCCGATGCCTATTATGTATTGTTGAAAACTGAAAACTAACAATGGTATTCACTCCAAAATGCAAAAGGACCATGAGTCAGTTCTCTGAGCATAACAAGAGCCGGCTAAATCTTTCAAAAATTTTTCTCATTAAAAAAAAATCATTTCAATAAAACCTGGGTACTGCTAATTGTTGTGTGACTCACTCGAAGTATGCTTTGGGCAAACTATTTTATTCTCCCCTTCAATAAACTGAGAAACTTGATTGCATCAGCTGGAGCCTATCACAGATAAGGAGCTTGATAGGGGAAGGAAATAAAGAATAATGGAGGAGTCAGCAGGGGGATACCTCAGTTCTAAGCCTCCCTTTTAGGAAGGAAAACTCCAAGATTCAACAACGTTGTCAAATGAATGGTGTGACCTGCATTTTGTGTAATAAAAACAAGCGATGAAGCATTTCCTGCAGGGACTGTTGAGGTCTATCAATTACTGCTCTTGGTGGAAATCAGGCTAATTCCTCCAACTCCTGTTCAGACTCACCACTGTGTTTCTGTGTAGCTCTGTCTTCCCAAGAGACGCCAAGCCACTACCCTGATGATACATGTAGCTATGCAGAGACCCCTCCTTGGCCTTATGTCGCAGGGGAAATAGAGGCCTCCAGGTGTGCTCTTCCCTAAAGGGGAGCAGTTCCTTCCTTTTTTAACAAATTAATTTTTTTATTTGAGTAGAGATGACACACCATGTTACATTAGTGTCAGGTGTACAACAGAGTGAGTGAATCAGCAAGTTTAAACATTATGCTACACTCACCGTAAATGTAGCTTCCATCTATCAGCAAACAGCACCGTCACAATATCATTGACTATATTCCTTCTATTGTGGCTTTTATTCTCATGACATTTTCATTCCATATCCTGGAAGCCTATATCTCCCACTGCTCTTCATCCATTTTGTCCACCCTCACTCCCTTCCCTCTGGCAACCCCCAGCTTACTTTCTGTGTTTATGGGTCTGATTCTGCTGTTTGTCCACTTATTCAGTTGTGTGATTGATTGGTTTATTTGTTTGTTTTTTAGATTCCACATAGAGTGGTTCTTTCAATCAACAGATACTCATGAAACATGTATCTTGAGCCAATTACTCTGAATTCAAAGGCCATCTCTTTTCTCCACTAACTTACAGACTACTAAGACAGAATCGTGGACATAATATTGTAATGAAATGTGATTACTACCATAGAGGTAGGCACACAGGGTCACAGGGAATTGAGAGCAAGAGTAACACAGGCCACGCTGTGAGAAATGAGGGCAAGGAGAGCATCAGAAAAGACTTCTCCAACCAACATGAGTCATACTTGAACTGTGTTGTAAAGGATAAGCAAGAACTTTCTTAAATCGTGTTCACTGCTCATCTACAAGACCTCTGAAGTAGGGACCAGATTTTGTTCAGAGCTGTATTTATAGCACCTGGCATTTTGCCCGAGACATTTACTGGATGTATGAAGGAAAGAAGGGAGGAAGGGAGGAAAAGGTGACTCTATTTATCTCACAGGCGTGGAGAAGGGAGAACACAGACATCCTTTGACTTGCCTACCTCTGTTCTCTGAAATCTGCCCATCCATCCAATAGGCACTATACTAACAGCAGTATATTACTTTTCTGCTGCTTGATCCTGGCCCCTAGATGTACCTGACTGGTCCAGGAATCGGTGGCTGACACAAAATGGACCAATCAGAGTATCTACCTTGGCCTTTGAAAAGAGAACTTTAGCCTTTCTGTATATATGAGTATATAGCTTATAAACTTGGGAGCTGGAAGGAGGCCACCTTCCACCACCTAAATGGGGAGCAAAGGGAGCCAGTTAGCAAAAAGCAAAGAAAGAAGTTGATGCCCCAAAATAAGCAGAAATGAGAAACAAGGAGAGACAGAGAATTTCTACACCCTCTCAATTCCTTGTTCCTGAGGCCCTATTACCTCACCACCCTTGAGGTCTTTAAATGACCCTCTCATTTGTCTTTCCAGTGAATTTCTCTCTCTCTCTCTCTCTCTCTCTCTCTCTCTCTCTCTCTCTCTCATATAAGCCAGCTTTGTTTGGTTTTGGAACTTTGGAACCAAAGTCATTTTATTCAATGATAGTGCGATGGGCAGATTCCAGAAAGGCTTAGAGTGAGCAAAATCCTGAGGTCTAAAAGGCCTGGTTGTTTGAAGATGAGGAGAAGGTGTCTGGTACCGCCTTAGGTGAGAAAGGTCTTGAGAGGCTAGAAAAATCCCCAGGGAGTTCAAGTTCCATCTGGTGAAGGGCGTAAATGAAAATTTTCCAGGGACCTGCACTGTATAGACTTTGGGACTAACAAAGTCTAAAACTTTGGAAAGGGGCAGTAGGAACAGAGAATACATATCAGCACTGAAGAGAGACTGATACACCAAACTGGGACAACTTGTTCCTTTACCATGAGAGGTAGTGATCACAGGACCACAGATACGTGGCCAGTCTTGCAGGACACCCATGGTATCTGACCACAGGACCACAGTGTCCTTATGCATACCAAATGCATCCCTGCATTCCCCACACAAACCCTAATTTTCTACCATGCTCTTCCAGACTTTCTCAATCACATTAGTAGTGTTAAAGAAGCTCCTGACACATTTTCAGCCCTGGTACTGTTAGGCAGAATCTCATGGCCCAAGGTACAGGAAAACAAATATTTCAGGATCTTCTTTATTTTTTCTTGCTATGGAAACACAGTGTGGCCCCATCTCCTAGAAACTCTGACTCAGTATACCACACACTAAGTAGATACATAGGGTGGAGTTTATTGGCATTACAAATAGCATTACAAAAATGAGCTTTCTCTGCAAAGGATTGGGCTTCAAGATTTCCTTAGCTTGCTTGCTTCTTTAGTGCAATAAAATGCTATGTGATTTTCCCAAACAGCACTTACACGTACCCTCCTAGGAGTACACTTATTGCGTGTGATGGGTTTGACCTACATGGAACTTAAGATCTTTGGCAAAAGCAATTCCAAATCACAGCTCTGGGAAGTTTTAAAGGAAGTCAAGAGAGTAGAAGTTGCTTTTGGAGCATCAGCACAGAAGGAGATGTGAACCAAGCAAGCCTCTCTTGGTTTTAATAATTCACTGCTTTGTGTTATGTCCGTCCATGTGATCAAAGGCCTGGGTATTGAGCATACCGTCAACAACATCCCAGGCACATAAATAAACCATCTTCTGCTCTCAGTCCAGGAAGCAGTTATTGATCTGGGCTCTGATCTTCTCCTACCTGACTTTCTGAGGATTTCTAAAATAGCTCACCTTAGGGGAATTAGAGACTCAAGTACTTTTCTTTTGTCCTTTGACCAATAAAATAAAATTACCAACACCCTGCAAAAGATGAATTCTGACAGAAGAAACATCAGCATTTTCTGTGATGGCCAGACAACCAACCAGGTATCTGCCCACAAGCTAAGAGACAAAAGGAAAAATTGATAGTCCCTTGGCCACCAAGGCCACCTTGCTCTACCAAGAATCAGTCTCCAAATTACAGCTCTGAGATCTTGATCAGCCAAAAGCAAGGACATGTGATCTCTACGGATCAGAACAGAAGAAGAGATGAACTAATATACGAGTTCCTCTCCAAACACTCAATTGCCTGTTTTGGATACCTGAATGACAATGTAGATTTTAGTCCTAGCTCCCACAGGCTATGTGACTTTAGAGAAGTCCCACTGTTTCTCAAAATGACAGCATATCCATTGGTTAGGTACCAGCTATTGGGCACTCGCTAGGCATTTCAGACCCCCTTCTCTCTGATTGCTTCCTACTACAGAGGCTACAAATGCTGAATTCATACCGCCCTAGCCTTCTGTGCACTCAAGGTTGTATGAGATCTATGGGGCAATTGGCTGAGGGGATTCTGGATAAGAGTTTCAGCCTTGAGAAACAGCGATAATCAGATATAGGACTGTGACTCAAAATATACAAAGAACTCTTAAAACCCAACAATAAGAAAAACAATAGCGCAATTTAAAAATGAGCCAAAGACCTTAACAGACACCTCACCAAAGGAGATATGCGGATGGCAAATACCCTATGGAAACGTGCTCCGCATCATATGTCTTCAGGGAAATGCAAGTTAAAACAACGAGAGGCCACTATATGCCTATCGGAATGGCCAAAATCTGAATATTGACAATGCCAAGCGTGGAAGAACACGTGGAGCAACAGGAACCCTCATTCATTGCTGGTGGGAATGCAAAATGGTACGGCATTTGGAAGACGGTTTGGCGGTTTCTTCTAAACTAAACATATAAAACATGCAATCCAGCAATCACATTCCTTGGTATTTACCCAAAGGAGTTGAAAAGTTATGTCCACAGAAAAACCTGCACACGGATGTTATAAGCGTCTTTGTTCATAATTGTGAAAACTTGGAAGGAAGCAAGATGACCTTCAGTAGGTGAACAGATAAATAAACTGTGGTACAAACAGACAATGGAATGTTATTCAGCACTAAAGAGAGCTGTCAAGCCATGAAAAGACAGAGGAACTTGAAAGGCCTATTACTAAGTGAAAGAAGCCAACCTAAAAAGGATACATATTGTATGATGCCAACAATATGACATTCTAGAAAAGGCAAAACTATGGAGAAAATAAAAAGATCACTAGTTGCAAGGGGTTGGAGGGCAAGAGAGGGAAAAATGGGCTGAACACAGAGGATTTTTACAGCGGTGAAAATACTCTGTATGATACCATAATGATGGATGCGTGTCTTTATACATTTGTCTAAGTCCATAGCATGTACAACATTCTAAGAGTGAACTGTAAGGTAAACTATGGTCTTTGGGTGATAGTGATATCATAATGTATGTTTTCTTTTTAATTTTTTAAATGTTTATTTATTTTTGAGAGAGAGAGAGAGACTGAGTGCAAGAGGGGCAGAGAGAGAGAGGAAGACACAGAATCCAAAGCAGGCTCCAATCTCCGAGCTGTCAGCACAGAGCCCCCATGCAGAATTCAAAACAACAAATTGTGAAATCATGACCTGACCTGAAACTGGACACCCAACTGAGCCACCCAGGAGCCCCTATACGTTTATCTACTGTAATGAATGTTCCCCTCTGGTGAGTGACTGAGAATGAAAGAGACTGTGCACATGTGGGTCAGACAATAAACCTGCTCTTCAAGAAATGAAGTCTTGGGGCACCTGGGTGGCTTAGTTGGTTAAGCGTCTGACTTTGGCTCAGTCATGATCTTCCAGTTCTCAGGTTTGAGCCCCACGTTGGGCTCTGTGCTGACAGTGCAGAGCCTGGAGCCTGCTTCAGATTCTGTGTCTCCCTCTCTGTGCCCCTCCCCCTCTCGGGCACATGCGTGCACACTCTCTCAAAAATAAAGATAAAAAATAAAGTCTTAACTTTAAAAAAAAAAAAAAAGAGACAGAAGAGGAAAACACTCTCTCACCACCCCCCAAATATCTTCTTGATTCCTCTTTAGACCTTCTGTAAAAGGTGCTTGGAACTGAAGCAGATATCTTGCAAGTGTAAGGGAATACATTTCATGTACAGATATGACAGAAGGGTAAGGACTGAAGGGGCCCGCATCTTTGGAACCAATGAAATAACCTAGACTACGCCGTTCTCCAGACTTCTCGTCAAGCAGATGTCACGTGTCCTTATGATGTAAGATCTGGCTGGTAGGTGCTTTGTTACTGGCAGCCAGAGGTATCCCAGTGGATACATACATCTATAAAAGAAGAGGGTCAGACCGATATCTCTGTGGTTCATTCTACCTGTAAAATTTCTAACGTAATTTTTATGCCCATCCATTCATCCTCAAAGTCTCTTGCCTTGGCTGACTCACCCATGAAGAGTAAGTATAGCCATCCAGTTGCCAGAAGTAGTTCTTTGAAATGATAAACTAATAACTACAGTGCTTCTCCTGTTAGAAGGTGGAGCCTCTCACTCACCAAAGGTAGAGTACGACATTGGCAGAGCAGTGAGTGTGCATTTGCACTGATGAGCAATCGTGTGCCCTGGCATGTGATAGGGTCTTTTGGTAAAACAATGAGACATCTGGAGAATGGCCACAGCAACAACAAAGTGTGGATACACCTACTGGTCTGAGTCTGAAGGGCATTGGTAAAAGGTTTCCAGGGCCAGGTAACTCACCTTCCCCAGGAATTTCCACCAAATTTTAAGCATTTAAGCATTTTTATCACCAGAATCTTCTTAAAACATAGCAGTAGAAGTAATATATTAGCTTGAGAATGTTGAAGCCCTGAGGAGATGGGAGGCAGAGTAGATGGATTTCTGGAAATCACTAAGGGCAGTAAAAAGACCATAGACTTTAGAGCTATAGGGTTATGTTTGAGTCTTTGTTCTACCACTTAATACCTGTATATTTTGAAAAAGTCATTTGAGAGATGCCTGAGTGGCCCAGTTGGTTAAGCGTCCCAGTTTGGCTCAGGTCATGATTTCACAGTTCGTGGGTTTGAGCCCCACATCAGGATCTGTGCTGACAGCTCAGAGCCTGGATCCTACTTTGGATTCTGTGTCTCACTCTCTCTCTGTCACTCCTCTGCTCACTCACTCTCTCTCTCTCTCAAAAATAAACATTAAAAAAAAAAGAAAGAAAAAATCATCTGCGCCCTCTAGTAACGATTTATAAAATGTCTTCCCTGGCTTTCTTCATGGCTACTATGGGAAACCAATAAGATCACATGTGCAAAAATTATGTTTGCACACTCTGCCAAGTGTGGAGTGCTGCCCAAGTGTGAGAGGCTATCATTCTCAATGAGGAAGAAGAAGATGCAGAAGGAGAGCCACAGGGCACCAAGAACCGTGGGCGACTGAGGGGTACATCAGAAGGCAAACAAGCCAGGCTCAGATAAGCCTTTGCTGGATCGGCTTCCGTCTGAGACCAGCCATACGGTCTATGCAGCCGGTAATCCCAGACCCGGACCTCAGCAGCCCCGTCTTTCAAAATCGATGACTGGGCCACCTGACAGCTACCTTAACAACTGTAGGTACTGGAAGCACACCCCCAGCTCGGGGCTGCTTCCTCCCCGCTGTGTGGTTCGGGCTATCTCCAAAGGCGTTCAGGCTCCTCCAAGGACAGGCACTCTCATCTTCCCTGTCCTATGAGGGAGACTGAACCATGCAGCCAGACTGGGACAGACAGAGACGAGCAAACACCAGTTAGAGGCCCAGCTAAAAACCAGCCAACCGCTACAGGTCTAGTCAGCTAGCCTCAGTCTCCACATCTGTGGTATGGGCCAATAATACCTGCTCTGCTTGCTCCGCAGGAGAACTCTGAAGTTAAGGTGAGCTAACGGAGGGAAAGGTGACTGGAATACTGGAAAGCCATGCACAGATGTAAAACGTCTCTGGGGCAGGGGGCAGTCGTGGTGAAGAGCGTGGGCTTTGAAGTCCAACACACCCAGGTTGTGTGCCAGCCCTGTCATCCCCAGGTGGACGATCCCAAGCAAGTTGCTCGGCCTCTTCAAACCTTGAGTCATTATCTTTAAAACGGGGTCCCTAATGTCTACGTGATAGCCTGTCGTAGCGATTAAACAGCAAATCCGTGTCATTAAGCAAGAAGTTAATAAACGTCAATAGTAGTCGTAATAGTATTTGTTGCTATGATCATTACTATTATCTCTGTCGACACCATTCCCTTGTCAGATGGCAAGAATGAAGCCCACACGAGGCCTCGGAATGTGCTGCCTCCCAACCTTACTGAGCGTCCATTCCAAAAAGTCACACAGCCCCTGAAGACTCCACTGAGATGTGAGCTGAGAGGATGCATCCAAAGCTTTATGGTTGAGAAGACCAGTCCAGAAGCCCCTCCCTGACGACACTGCCCTGACAGACCCCTTGCTGGGTGAGACTTTGCAGCGAACCCCTGAGCTCCGATGCAGAACGCAATCTGCCAAAGTTCGATATTGCTCCT